TATATTTATTCCATAAATTAATTATTTTTTTAATAATTAATTAATATAAAATAATTACATATAAATATTTTTTTTAAATAATTTAAATAATTATTAATAATTTATAATTTTATAATTTTCAATAAATTTGAATATATTTTAAAATAAAAATATATTTATCTCAAATATTCAAAATTAAATACATAAATAATAATTTTAAATTATATATAACCAATTATAAATTATATATTCATAGAATTGGGGGGAGACCTCACTCGATCTGACCCTGGTAATTGGTGAAATTTTGGTAAATAAATTCTAAAATTCTTTAGAATTCTTTAAAAATCTTTAAAATTCTTTAAATCTCTTTATTTTTTTTTAAAATTATTTAAACCTCTTTTTAAACCTCTTTAAACATCTTTAAATTTTTAAAAACATACTTTAAAATTTTAGAGAATTTTACAGAATTTTGAAAATAATTAAAAATTGGGTTGGTTGATTTTTATCATTGGGATTTGACACATCACTGCATTGTTCTTGCATGGTGGGTGATGGAGATCATGTTCTTTGTAATTAACTATTGGCTGCCTCCATGCATTCTTGGCTCAAAATTGCCAACATGGATCATGAAATTAGCAAGGCCAATTGAATTTTGGTCCGAGATTTGAAGGTAAGGGTATATATAATTATACCAATGAATTTAAATAATTATGACATGATAATTGGTTTGTTTATCCCAGCAGAGACTTACCGACGGCAACGGGTGAACCAGTGGCAAATGGTGATGTTTGGTTTCCCCAAAGGCTTTCCATTTTAAAATTCTCTAAGATTTTAGAGGAAGGGGGTCACACCCCAGAATTAGCTGGTAAATTGCTCATTTTGGGGTACCCCAGACCACCCCCAGAGTTTCCTTCCTCTAAAATTTTAGAGGAAGGGGGTCATACCCCGGAATTAGCTAATAAACTACTCATTTTGGTGTATCCCAGAGGTTCCTCCTTTAAAATTTTAGAGATAATTTTAAAATTTTAAAGTAAATTCCAGAATTCATAAATTTTACTATGGTTTTCTGGTAATTCACCTATTCCCTAATATTAAATTATGGGTATATTTAAACATTCTCCCAGTATCATTATTAAACCTTCACATTGATGATCCCGTTGATTTCTTTCAGCTAATTCGTCGGTGATGGGGGATTTGTAAATTATAGTAAGCGAGCGTAAGCCAAGTTCTGTACGAAAATGCCATCGTCCAATAATTAATTTCAAATTAGTTATTTTTCATCATTATTTATTAACCTAAATGCTGAGAAAATTATATATTTCCCATTATTATACTTCCATAATTTTGCATAATTTTTCCCCCAAAAGCAGTTATAAAAAAAGGGGTCTAGAGAGAATCCTATAATATTTTATT